AAAAATAATGTAAGATTGATAGGGATTAATGAAAAAGAAGGAGACAACATAAAGGATGTCAACAGGATATTTAGAAAAGTAATAGCTGAAAATTTCCCAAGCATGAGATCAGAAACCAACATCAGGATCAGTGAAGCATATAGAACTCCAAATAGTCATAACCAAATAAAACTACACCCAGACATATAATAATCACCATCCCAGAAATCCAACACAAGAATAGATTATTAAAAGCTGTCAGAGAGAAAAGACAGATAACTTATAAAGGAAATCCTATCAGAATCACAGCAGACTTCTCAGCACAAACAATAAAGTCAAGGAGAGCATGGAGTGAAGTATTCCAGATCCTAAAGCAAAATGATTTCCAACATAGACTGATGTATCCTGCAAAACTATTATTCAAAATTGATGGTGAAATACAATACTTCCATGACAAAGAACAGCTGAAGAATTTCATGAACACCAAGTCAACCCTGCAAAAAATATTGTAAGACAGTTTAGATACACAAAGGAAAAAACCACTAAGCAGGGCAGATAATTAAACAGAACAGAAAGATAAAGATGCAACAGCAGAGAGATAACATGTCAACAATAAACCAGCATTCAACAGTTATAATCATTATTGTAAATGGTCTCAATGCACCAATCAAAAGAAGCAGACTAACAGAATGGATCAAGAAACAAAATCCAACCATATGCTGTTTACAGGAAACCCATCTAACCCAGAAGGATACTCACAGACTGAAAGTCAAAGGATGGAAAACAATTCTTCATGCAGCAGGAATCAAAAAAAAAAAAAAAGGAGGAGTAGCCATTCTGTTTGCAGACAATGTGAATTTTAAACCAACAATGACCAAAAGGGACAATGAAGGTCACTACATACTCGTTAGGGGAAAACTCCAAGAGGAAGAGATAATTATCTTAAATATATATGCACCAAACTCCAGGGCACCCAGTTATATAAAACAACTATTAACAGATAAGAAAACTCAAATTATCAGTAACACAGTTGTAAGAGGAGACCTTAATACACCATTGACACCAAGGGACAGATCAACCAGAAAGAAAATGAGCAAAGAAATAACAGAACTGAAGCACACCTGCAAACAAATGGATTTTATAGACATACACAGAATGTTCCACCCAACAACACCATAATACACATTCTTCTCAGCAGTACATGGATCATTGTCTAAAATGGACCATATATTAGCTCACAGAACATATTTAAACAAATGCAAAAGAGTTGAAATCATCCCTTGCATGTTATCGGATCATAGCGCTCTGAAATTAGAAATTAATGATAAAAGATACTGCAAAATCCCGCAAACACATGTAAACTGAATAACACACTCTTGAGTAATCAGTGGGTCACAGAAGAAATTAAACAATACCTAAAAGAAAATGAAATGCAGATACAACTTGCTGGGATCTGTGGGATGCAATGAAAGCCATCCTCGGAGGAAAATTTATTGCACTGAGTTCCCACATCAAGAAAACAGAACGAATACAAATAAATAACCTGATGCTACAACTCAAACAGCTAGAAAAATAAGAGCAAGTCAAGCCCAAAGCCAAAAAAGAGAGGAAATTATAAAATCAGAGCAGAAATCAATGCAATAGAAACTAAGAAAACAATCCAAAGAATCAACGAATCAAAGAGTTGGTTCTTTGAAAGAATAAATAAAATCGATAAGCCCCTAGCCAACCTTATTTTAAAAAAGAAGAAAAAGCTCAAATTCATGCAATAAGAAATGAAAAAGGTGAAATCACTACAGACTCTACAGAAATACAGAAGATCATCAACACCTATTTCGAAAACCTCTACCCTCAAAGGTTTGATAACACAGAAGAAATAGACAGATTCTTAGAAACATGTGAAGTACCAAAGCTAGATCAAGAGGATGTAAAACTGTTGAATAACCCAATCTCTGTTAATGAAATTGAAAATGTAATTAAGTCCTTACCCACCAAGAAGAGCCCAGGCCCAGATGGATTCACTGCAGAATTCTACAAGAAATACAAAGAAGACCTAATGCTGACACTCCTCAAAATATTCAATGAAACTGAAAGGGAAGCAACCCTTCCTAAGTCATTCCTGGAAGCAAATATTACTCTAGTACCAAAACCTGAGAAAGACCCAACTAAAAAAGAGGACTATAGACCGATCTCCCTAATGAACACAGATGCAAAAATTCTCAATAAAATATTGGCAAATAGGATGCAGCAAATCATCAAGAAGATTATGCACCATGACTAAGTGAGATTAATCCCAGGAATGCAAGGATGGTTCAACATATATAAATCAATAAATGTAATCCACCATATCAATAAAGCCAAAAGTAAGAATCACATGATCATTTCTATAGATGCCGAAAAAGCCTTTGATAAGGTCCAACATTTATTCATGATAAGAAATTTACAGAAAATAGGAATAGATGGTCTTTACCTCAATATAATAAAGGCCATTTATGACAAACCAACAGCCAGCATCATACTAAATGGCCAAAAATTGAAAGCCTTTACTTTAAAATCAGGCACGAGACAAGGATGTCCTTTATCACCACTCCTATTTAATATAGTACTGGAAGTACTAGCCAGAGCAATTAGACAAGAGAGAGAAATAAAAGGGTTAAAGATAGGAAAAGAAGATGTTAAATTATCATTGTTTGCAGATGACATGATACTCTACACAGAAGACCCCCTAAACTCCATTGAAAGACTCTTAGATATAATAAATAAATTCAGTAATGTAGCTGGATAAAAAATCAATACTCAGAAATCAATAGCATTCCTATACACTAACAACAAAATCACAGAGGGAAATAATAGAAACCACATTCTTCACATTAGCAAGCAAGAAAAAAAAGAAGAAAAAGAAAAAAAAAGAAATATTTAGGAATTGCTCTTACAAAAGAAGTGAAAGACCTATACAGGGAAAATTATAAGACACTGAAAAAAGAAATTGAAGATGATCTCAGAAAACGGAAAGACATCTCTTACTCATGGATAGGAAGAACGAGCATTGTGAAAATGGCCATTCTCCCAAAACTGTTATACAGATTCAATGCAATCCCAATAAAAATACCATCAACATACCTTATAAATCTAGAGAAATCACTCCTAAAATTCATCTGGAACCAGAAGAGACCTAGAATAGCAAAAGCAATTCTAAGCAGCAGAGGCAAGGCCGGAGGCATCACAATCCCTGACTTGAAGTTATACTACAAAGCAACATTAGTAAAATCAACATGGTACTGGAATCAAAACAGAGCCAAAGATCAAGGGAATAGATTAGAAGATACAACCACAACTACAAACACAACCACCTTTTCTTTGAGAAAGTGCCAAGCAGGTTCACTGGAAGAACGACAGTCTCTTTAATAAATGGTGCTGGAAAAACTGGCTCTCCATTTGCCGAAAACTAAAGCTAGACCCATGCCTATCACCATGTACTAAATTAAAATCTAAATGGGTCAAAGATATGAATATTAAAACAGAAACACTAAATCTTTGGAAGACAAATTGAGTATAAACCTTGAAAACATAGGGGTAGGTAGAGAATTCATGAACAGGACTTCCCAGAATCAATAACTGGGACCACTTCTTATTAAAAAGTTTCTGCATGTCAAAAGAAATCTCCAGCATAGTGAAAAGAAAACTCACAAACTGGGAAAAGATTTTAGTGAACTCCCTCTCAGACAAGGGACTCTTGTCTAAAATATATAAAGAATTAAAAAAACTCAGACCCCCAAAATTCAAAGATCCAATCCAAAAATGGGCATCTGAGATGAATACGCACTTCTCAGATGAAGAAATGCAAATGGCAAATAAATACATGAAAAAATGTTCATCATCATTGGTCATTAGAGAAATGCAAATTAAAACCACACTGAGATTCCATCTCACTCCTAAAAGAATGGCCAGGAACAAGAAAGCCAACAACAACAAATGCTGGAGAGGCTGTGGGGCAAAAGGAACTTTCCTACACTGTTGGTGGGAGTGTAAACTGGTACAACCTTTGTGGAGGTCAGTCTGGAGATTTCTTAAATGCTGAGATTGGAAGTCCCATTTATTCCAGCTATTCCACTTCTAGAAGTGGAATATTCCCAGAAGAACTGAAAGCATCATACCACAGTGATATATGTGCACCTATGTTTATAGCAGCACAATTTGTAATCGCCAGATCTTGGAAACAACTCAAGTGTCCATCAACTGAGGAATGGATAAAAAAGTTGTGGTATTTCTATACAATGGAGTATTACTCAGATATAAAGAAGGATCACATTGAGATATTTATCAATAAATGGGCACAGCTTGAGACCATACTCATAAGCGAAATAAATCAATCTCGCATTTGTGAATACCGAATAGTTTCCCTAATGTAAGTAATGATTCAAATATATAAAAGTATTTGGTAATCATGATTCCCAATTATGTGACCTTGAAGCCTTATAAAGTTTTCACTTATTAATTGGAATGGCTTTATTCTGGGCTTCTTGATATGGAAATATTTGAAGCTATAGAATATGAAGTTATATTCAAATATTTCAAGGAAAAAGACAGACACTATGGTAACTACTATTAAGTCAGGTTATTAGGTGGTGAAGCACTAGGTTGCTGAAACAGTCATGCTTTGACCTGTATTGTTATATTGTTATGTCGTATTTTATCTCAATCTGTCCCTTATTCATTAAAAAAAATTAGTTATTTTTATGGTTTTTTTAATTAAGGGGAAAATTTTTAAAAATTAGCAGGATACATCATAGTAACTTTTTGATTTCCTATTAACTTGATTTGAAGTCCTGTAATACTCCCACTATCTTGTTTTGACTGATTAGCCTCTGTTCCATTCTGTATGATAGTATCAAGTTTGAGGGTATAGGCAACTACTTTGAAGGCAATAAGATTCACTAAGATGCCCATTCTGGTTTGACTATTATCTCCTTTGGAAGTCCTGTAATGTATACAATGTTTAAGTTTTATTGGTCTTGGTGACAGTAGCAACCACTGGAATGGAAAAAGCAACAACAATCAAAGAAGCCTTGGCAATATGGGAAGAAGAAACTGGTCAGAGGCCATCTGAAGCCCAGGAGATAAAGCTTTATGCCCAGATTCCCCCAATAGAGAAGATGGATGCCTCCTTATCCACACTTGCTAACTGCGAGAAGCTTTCACTGTCTACAAATTGCATTGAAAGAATTGCCAACCTGAATGGCTTAAAAAACTTGAGGATCTTGTCTTTAGGAAGAAACAACATAAAGAACTTAAATGGACTGGAAGCTGTAGGAGACACGTTAGAAGAACTGTGGATCTCCTACAATTTTATTGAAAAGTTGAAAGGGATCCATGTAATGAAACAATTGAAGATTCTCTACATGTCTAATAACCTGGTGAAAGAGTGGGCTGAGTTTGTGAAGCTGTCAGAACTGCCGTGCCTGGAAGACCTGGTATTTGTCGGCAATCCTCTGGAAGAGAAACATTCTGCCGAAGGGAACTGGATTGAGGAAGCAACCAAAAGAGTGCCCAAACTAAAAAAGCTGGAAGTTACTCCGGTAATTAAACAGGATGAGGAAGAAAAAAATTAACACCATATTTTCCTCTTTGTGTTATTTAATTGTCATGAGAACAGTAGATAAGTTTTGTATAATTCTCTATTTTAAAGATTCTGTGTGGAACAGAAAGTTCTTAAAAGAAATCTTACTTCTAATTTTTTTTTAAAGCTATCCAGTATTTCTCCCCAAAACCACTACATAAGGTAGTCTAGTTCTCTTTTTGGAAACTAACTTTTCCACTTTTTGTCTTCATTCTCTGTTATATACCATGTGAGCCCATCTATTGAAATGTATAGATCAATTGTTTAAATAGCGAAAGAACAAATATTGTTTATTCAGTTTGTTTAGTAATTTTTAGGTCAGGCATTTGAATCTGTAGAGGGTCCCTCTCCTTATGCCTCAGAAGTGCAAAGGTATCGTGCCATTGGTTTTGAAGGGAGTGTGGCAGTGGAAAGAGCGCCTCTTAGGAACACACAGCAGCAGTCCTGGAACCAAGACTCAGCTGGAAAAAGCTGTGGTATCAAAAGGAAGAATGAGCATCTTGGAGGCCTTCTAGCCCACACTGTATTTATTTGTTTGTTTTTCCAAAAATGTGTAGATTGTCAACTGGAATTTAGTTGTGTTTACAATCATGGCCACTTGAGTTACTGTATATGTATAATCAGTTATTCTGTGACCCAGTTCAGTGGTTAAAATGAGCATCATGGCCCTCCTTTGACCAATAGTGTGGCCGTGTTACCCATGTGGACCTGGCCTAAAGCACATTTTTTTTTGGTTTATAATTCCTTACAGTTTAAATTCAGTAGCTCTCGACTAAACATCAACCATTGATATTCATCACAATTTGCCCTAAGGATAAAAGTCTCCAGATCCTCACTGTTATCCTTAGAAGGGTACAGACTCGAAGATTGAATTTGGTACTTCTCAATAAATGAAGGTTATTTTCAAGTATATATAATACACATATATTTCAAAGTTTATTTTTTTTGACAAGTTCTAAGTTGAGCAGCTCAGAAAGTGTATCGTGTAAGTGGTTGTGGAAGGAAGAGAGGAGAGATGTTTCAGTGAGATCCCAGACGAACAGCAGTATGTTGGAGAACTGCCTCCTGTGTGAAGCACTCAGATGATTTAACTTCTGAACTGTAAGGCAATAGTCAGGTGCAGAGATTAGAATTTATAATGTAAGAAAAAATTTCTCTCTGGAAAATGCAAGATCAGTAATCGGATGAAGTCTATAGCAGGTCATGAGTGAAGCACTAATAGACTACAAAAAAGAAGTCAGGGGTCTTCTGCCAAATTGTGCCTAAAGTCTCTCCCCAGAGACTACTGATTCTTTATCTCCCCATCGAATGGAAGAGGGGAGAATCATTTTTTTTAAAATGATTGCATAAGTAGTCGTAGGTTTCAGAAATCTACAACTATCACTTGAGAATCACTTGATTTCGCTAAGAGTCATTCTTATCAAAAGGGACCACTGCTTTGACAATCAACTCTAAATCCAAACAAGAACACTTGGTCTAACCCCTTTACTCTTCTTTTCACTGTGATAGGAAGAAGCCTTTACGTTGACTGGCTTTTAAATTCAAAGCTTTCAGCATTTCTTTTGTGAACCATGCTCCTCAGTGATGTTTAAGACCCATAAGCTGAGAGGGAAGGCGATCTTGTAGTTTGCACTTCATCCAGTAGGCAAGCTTGAAGCCATATTGCTACATATGGGCTACGTATGGGTATATTTTCTAAAAGTTACTCTGAAAGGGAATATTATAGAAAATGGATGACTTTGTATTGAATTTATTTATGAAGTAGTTTACAGTTTAAGTGATTTTTCTGAATTTCTATAACATAGTTTTTTTTTTCTTAATGTTTTTTAATCACTGGTGGTTCTCAGAGAATGGTGCTTTTCAGTGTCTATTTTACACAAAATTCACATTCACTTGTATTCAACAAATATTTGAATGGCTTCTATGGATCCCTGTTCCTGGAATTAAAGCCAGAATCTGTGCAATTAGAAAACGGTGGATTGGATATATGAAGAAGTTCAGTACAGTCTCTCAAATCATTCTTTTATCATCCTTTACTGCTGCACATTTAGTTTGTATTTGCTGCCTTTGTTTGATGTTTCAGGTTAGATATTTGACCTACTTGATATGGATGATGCTATGGTCCTGTGTTAGAGGATCATTTAAACGTCTTTTTCTTCTAGTACTGGGGATTGAACCCAGGGTCTTTGCACTGAGCTACATCCCCAGCCTTTTTATATTTTGAGATAGGGTCTCACTAAGTTGCCCAGGCTGGGCTCGAACTTGTGATCCTCCTCTTTTAGGCCCCAGAGTTCTGGGATTACAGGTATATACACCTTTCTTCTTTTCTTATAAATGATGGCAGAGCTCTGGCATCAGCCCAGTATTTTAATTTTTCACAGTAAACTTGATTTTCATCTACCAAGAAATTCAACTTTTCTATTTTCTGTAATTCTAAGCCTATGACCGTATTATTAAGTCAGGCTTGAAAGGTTTTTGTGTTCTGTTTATAAAATTGTGTTCCCTTAAACTAGAAGTTCTCAACATTGGCACTATGTACTGGGCTAGCTAATTCCTTGCTGTGGGAGACTGTCCTGTGTGGGATATTTAGCAGCATCCCTAACCTCCACCAATGGATACCAGTAGCTCCTTCTTCCCAGTTATTACAACAAAAGGTTTCGCCAGACATTGCCATCTTACCTCTGAAGGAAAGAATGGGAACAGATTCTCCCCTAGTTAAAAACCAGTGCTTTTTCCCTCCGTGTTCCTTTTGTCCAGTGTCCATCTATTTTCTCTGCATAGCCATGTGCCAATGGAGTTGTGTGAAAGAAGGACGGAAGGAAATGGTCAGAGGTGTTCCTTTTTTATGTAACACTGATTTTTGTAGGTTTCATATAGTATTAGAAACTCAGGGCTAGAAGGTTAAACTTATACAGTTTATTTTAGCGGGGCCTCAAATTTTATTTCTTACCATCCTTGCTTATCTTAGGACAGTGTTTATTAACCTACCTCTTTTGTTACTGTCAACAGAATTCAATATTATGGTAAATTTTGCTTTGTCTCTAAAATTTAATAGTTTGAAGATACTTCAGAAAATGGATCATCCTCATTCTTTACCTAATATGCAAACTTTTACAGACTGTGACAGTCATTAAATACAGAAATACTGTGTAAAATGTATGCCGTTTAAAAGTTAGCTGATGTAGACTTGATTTTGAATGTGATCTGCTTATTATTACTGGTCAATAACTTGTATGCTTACTGAATCTATTCCATGTATGAAAACAGTATGCAGCACTTACGCACGATTCCTGTTTGGAGTTTTCTACTTGAATAGGTGCTTCTTTTGACACTTTTTGCCAGTGAGTTGAAAGCAGAATAAGGAGGAATGGAAACTGAATCATGACTGTTGACTGATTCTCAGAGTTGGTATATAGAGTCGGAATCTTCTACCTGGAGTTTTCTAAAAGCTAAGGGCCTACCCAGAAGAATCGAATTTAGTCATTCACTTTAGAAAGCTGTAAGAAGTATCAAAGCATCTATCACAGGTAGTTAATGTCTCTCGGAGTGCAGTCAGATCATTGGTTCACTAAGACCTCACACATCATAAATATTGGTAAAGGAAGAAAACGTTTAAACTGCAAGTTACCCTTTATGGAAATTCATTCCTTTGGCACACACTTTCTTTATTTGGGCCTTTTAATGTGTCTATAAATAATGAAACAAGATTCAGTGTAGCAGAGTTGGTGACTATGTTCTTTTTACTTTAGCAAGTCATACTGTTTTCCTTTTGTAAAACTATAAAATAGATGAAACTTAACCAATTAAGAGTTACATTTTAAAATCACTGAGCATTTAGAAATACCATATCAATATACCTACTTTTTATTAATCACTGACTACAAGAGGAGAAAACTAAAAGGAAAACTAGACTAAGTCTCATCTTCTTCTGACCTAAAGTAAGTTTAATACTTGACACTTAGAGAAGTTCTAATCAGATTCTAGGTTGTTTCCCATATTAGGCAGGTTAGAGGGAACCAGCCAACCAAATTATAATCTAGCAAATTTAACAGGGGTGAGTGGGGGGGAGAATAAACTATTTTTCAGTAGATTTGCACTTTAAAATTCTAAATGGATGTTCATGGAAAGTACTTCCAAAAAGCAGATGGATAAATACCTAGCTTACACATAGACATTAGAGAATCAAACCTCACCCTCAGTCATTCTAAGCCAGCATGAACAATTGCTGTCTGTTGATATAAGCAGAATCAGGATTTCCTGATTCTCTATTTGAGTCATATTCTATATCTGCTGTATCCCAGATCATCCCTCTGGAGGATGTATCAAGTAATTCTCCTACTCAGACACTTTGTGAGTTATCTTCCCCACATCCAAATTTGTAAAACTAATTTAGATGTTGTCTGCATTAAGTTGTTGCTAAATTATATTGGCTAGAAGCACTTTGCTTCTTTGATCAGTAGGAAGTACCTGCCTCCAAGGTGCTATTGCCTACAGTGATCACTCCTATCAAGACTGGTGAATTAGACACAGAAGAGAATATGTTTGTATCTCCAACTGCTTCTCCAAGATTGTCAGCTATGATCATGAGCTTCATTCCAGGATCTCTGGCTTTTAGAACCAATTCCATTCCAAAGAGCATTTTAACATCCATTAATACTTTGGTAATAATCTTTTATACACAGGAATTTTGTAGCATGATTTTATGACTAAAGTTACTGTGTTAAATTATTTAGAAATAATGAGTTGTTGAATGTTATTTTGTGAGACTTGTTTTAAAATAGTAATAAATGGTGATATTTTATAAGAAAAAAAGTTGTATTGGTCTTGTTCTCTACTGTTTTGTTCAACTTTATAATACCTAATGAGACAGACAATTCTTTTTAAGGAAGCAAGAGGCATTATGGTAACCATTGTTGATAACCTTGTACTCTGTTTTTACATCATGTACTATGTCTATCCTTGGTTTTGACTGACAGCTTTGTTTTGCCATAT